ATCTTGCACAGACCACATCCACTGCCTTATCAACTGGAATGCACGTGAAGAGCGATGTAACATCAAAAGAGACCATAGTTTAATTTTACTGTAGTTGGACATGATATCCATGTGTCACACTTTTAGGAGGAAGAGTTTAATAAATTTAGTAGTTAGATAAAAACAGTAAGATCATCTTTTGTTTAATTTTTATTTAACCCAAGTAAAGATGAGTCAAAGAACAAAATGAAACACATGCAGTGTTTTTTTTATTTTCCCTGTATCGTTTTCCCTGTATCGAGTTATCCTCCTCCTTTTGTCACATGGACTGCTGACATCTTGACTGAAGAATATAATTTCCGTTTGAGCAGCAGACTTTCTGTCTGAGCCACACGAGAAAAAGAAGAATGTAACGAATAAAAACAGGCTGAGAACAGGAAAAGGCCCTGAAAATGATAGCGGTGATGTAATAGGAACTTAGCATTGACAAGCGGGAGAGGAGCAGCAATAAATAAATTTMCTGTWACTAGAAGAGCGGTTAAACAAAACGGGTAGAACTTTACTCATTCTATGACATCTTATCCTGAGAACTCTAATCTGCCAGCTCTGACTGTGAACTATTAGGCAAATATGTGATCAGTAGCTTATCGCAGCATGCAGCATTCAGGTGTGATTTTTGAAGAATGGGTGTTTAATGTTGTTAACAGATTAAATTTGGGTGATTACCTGTTCTAAGGCTTATATTTTAATCTAAAGTTTTTTTCATCCCCATTATTTGCTCAGATCCAGACATTTGGAGTAGAGGCGCCATGCAAGACTGTAGAAGACTTGACTAGTGGTGTCGTCATGGCCCAGGTTCTACAGAAAATGTAAGCTTGTTTATGTCTTTTATTACATCTTTCGTGTTTCGCTGTTTGTTTTTTGTAAAAAAGTTAAGCAATCTGCAATTTTTTGTATATTTAAGTTGTATCATTTTGTCTCTGAATTATGTAGAGATTTGGTGTATTTCAATGATGCTTGGATTAGCAGAATCAAGCCAGAGGTTGGGGACAACTGGAGGTTAAAGGTAAGGATTATTCTTCATTGCTAAGATGTTGCATTGTATGTTCATTGCAATGGTATCAAGTACTGAATGGTCTTAACTAGAGATCGACCGATACAGGTTTTTGAAGGCCGATACCGATATCGATTTTTTAAAAATCAGTCTAACCGATACGCCGATACGAGCAGCCGATATTTTTGGGCCGATTCTTGAAGCCGATACTAACTTTTCTTCCTCCATTAACAATGATAACAATAACAAATGTTACACAGGTCTCAACTTAAAAAACTTTTATTAATAAACAAACAAAACATTAACAGTGGATAGCAGACAATATGTACATATACAGTGTGTGTG